AACGGTAAAACCTTATATTCAAAGTGCCCGAGGGGGGTGTTAAACGCGGTTTTCCATTCATCTCCCTCTCGTATACGCACCAAATGATACGCGTTCCGCAGATCCAGCTTTGTGAAAATCTTTGCCCCCTGAAGGATCTCGAAAGCTGATGACATAAGGGGAAGAGGGTAGCGGTTCTTGACCGTTATGTAATTTAGCCCACGATAATCTATACAAGGGCGCAAAGAGCCGTCTTTCTTCTTTACAAAAAAGAAACCTGCGCCCGCGGGAGAGGAAGACGAAACAATAATACCTGCAGCGAGGGACTCTGAGAGATATTTCTCCATGGCTTCGCGCTCGGGCGCGGACAATGAATACAGTCTGCCCCGCGGCGGAGTCGTGCCAGGTTGGAGGTCGATACAACAGTCGTACGGGCGATGGGGAGGAAGAGAAGCGGCACGTGATCGACTAAAAACCGCCCGCAAATCGAGATACTCCTCCGGAACCCCCGACAGATCACCAGGATCCTCCTGAAACACAGAAACAGAAGAGACAGGGGGGACAGCAGACACTAAACACTTAACATGACAAGACAATCTCCACGAGAGAATGGACCCCTTGCCCCAATCAATATGTGGACTGTGTTCAACGAGCCAGGGATGGCCCAAAACAATGGGAGTGTAGGGCGAATGAAAAATAAAAAAGGTAATGGTCTCCTTGTGATTGCCAGAAAGCGTGAGACTCACCGGAATGGTAGTACGGCTGACTCTTTCAAGCTCGCTACCATCAAGGGCAAAAACAGGAGTACTGTCATTCAAATTAACTAAAGGAATGCCCTGTTCAAGAGCCCAAGTCTCGTCTAAAAAACTGGCCTCCGCTCCCGAGTCGATAAGGGTCTGACAGGTTACAGAAGAGCCGGACCATTGGAGAGTGGCAGGGAAAGAAGTGCGTGAACTTGGCGGAGGGACACAAGCAGTAGCGCTCGCCAGAAGCCCTCTCCTTACTGACGAGCGTTGGATTTTACCTTGCATGTGGTAGCGAAGTGACCGGCAGATCCGCAGTAAAGGCAAAGTCGGTTTAAGATGCGTCGCTCACGTTCAGCAGCAGTGATCCGAATTCCCCCCAACTGCATTGGCTCGGGAACCGGATTAATAGGAGGGGTATAAGAAGAAACGGGAGGTGAGGAGAGCTGAGGCCTCTCCATGCTGCGTGCTCGGCGCCGAAGCTCGAAGCGTCTGTCTATGCGGATAGCTTGGTCAATAAGAGAGTCAAGATGGGTCGGCACCTCCCGGGACAGAATCTCGTCCTTAATGTCTGTGTTGAGACTCTCAATAAATCGAGCAACGAGCGCTGGCTCATTCCATCCACATGTTGTAGCGAGCGTGCGGAATTCAATTGAAAAGTCCGGGACTGACCGTTTACCTTGACGGAGAGATGAGAGCAAACGAGAAGCCTCGACGCCATGTGAAGACCGGTCAAACACTCGAGTCATCTCCTCCTTAAATGTAGAGTAACAGCTGATGCAATCAGAGTCGGCATTCCAGACCGCCGTTCCCCACTCTCGCGCCCTCCCGGTGAGAAGAGAAACAACGTAGGCGATACGAGTGCGGTCCAGCGAATAGGTGAGTGGCTGTAAAGTGAAAACCACCTCGCATTGAGTAAGGAACGAACGGCACTCTGAAGGGTCGCCAGAGTAGCAGGGTGGATTATTAATTCTGGGTTCTTGGGTTCCAGAGAGGCGCGGAGGAGGTTCCGAGCGTAGATAGTGCATCTGCTCTGAGAGATCCGACAGTTGACTCGCCAAGGATTCGACTGCTCGACGGGTAGTGGTCAGCTCGTCCTGTTGGCGGCCCAGCATGGCTCCCTGAAATTCCACCGCAGACAGAACGGAATGGTCAGTTGCTGGGTCCATCCTTTGGCCAGATTATTCGGTCACAGACACGTTCAGGAAAAAAGGACCCAAATGCAATCTGCGAGACAACAGTTCCTTTAATGAAAATAATGCAAGCTGCGTAGAGTGGTCAAACAGAAAAGTCTCTTGTAGCTGGTAATCAGACGAACAGAAAGCCTCTTGAAGCAGGTAATTAGATGAACAGAAAGTCTCTGGTAATCAAACCAAACTGAGGAGTAGTCCAGCAACGATACTCAGCATCCAGCAGCAGGAACACAAATCAGGGCTCGTGGTCCGTCTGTCGCCCTCAAACACAGAGAAGCTGGGTAGAGAAAGACTTCAGTAATTTCCAGCACTGGCAGTGCAGAAGTAGCAAACATACGTCAACAGGACGAGACAAGACAAGATGCGAACAGGTAAGCTCTGTAACACACGTTTCACGAGTTCACACTTACATCAATTGAACAGAGTAAAGATTATGCGTATTTGGCGTGCTGTCCGGGGGGAGGGCTCCGAGCTCGGAATTTTGCCCGAACCCAGAGTACTCCCCCCGTTGTTGTAAGAGTATTAGGACTATAAGTGAGGAGATGGGGTGGTGGAGGGATGCTGTTAAACTGTCAATGAACGGAGGTTAGTTTGCTGTATATATACACAGCGCTTAACTCGTTTATTAAGCACCACTCTTGTCTAATTAGGTTTGATTATCTGAATGTGCTCCACGTGTGTTTAATTAGGTTTAATTATCTGAACGTGCTCCTCCCGAACTTTGTTAATAAAACATCATTTAACATAGTCAATAATCTGAAAAGGGGAAAAAGAGAACTAGAAGTAGGAACGCTAATCAGGAAGAAAGTGATAACAGGTGAAAATGGAGAAAGAGTAATGGAAAGGCTGATGGCAATCAGCTGGTGGAGAATGAATGAGCGTGATAGTAAGTGGGTGTGTCTAAGCGAGGTGTGTGTGTATGAAGGGAGCGCGTGTGAGAATGGATACAGGAAACAAAAAGAACACAAGAGGGAGACAGAGACAGAAGAGAACACCGGGATCATGACAACGACAACAACTATCGGCTTTGCATCCCTATCGTTCGCCTTAGCTAACTCATTCACCACTAGCGGAGTGAGCTGGAAAATCAAACTTTTCCCGAACCCCGTGGGGAGGAGGGCCACAACATCATGGCCACCAACAACACTTAGCAAACATTGATCTTGCCTCGGCTTTAACTTCTGTATATTCAGCAGTTTTGCAACAACGGACCGAATAGATTTTCTCACGTCTTTCTCCGCTGCCGTTACTGAACTCCAACTCAAACTGACGCGCTACATCAACGTCATCGTTCTCAGCCACTCCCTCTGTTCGCTGATTGGTCCTACAAAAAATTGATTTCTGGAAACCTAAGAATACACAGCAGTCCCAGACGTAGTACTGAAGGAAAATGAAATTGAGCGGAAGTGCGTAGGAGGGCGGAGCCAGGCTAACTTTGAGCCACTTCTGGGAAGGTTTGCTACTGTGCCGAGTTTTTGGATACTGGCTCTCGCTGTGGTTCTTTGAGTCCAAGAGCCTTTGGAAAAGCTTTGCAATTTTTCAAAGATGGATGTATTTCAATCACTGTCTTCATCATTATTCCTGGAGTTTCTTTCACCTTTGTCATAGTGTGTTACTGTTTAAGACCTTTTAACCAACTTCATGCTGTTGAAAAAGTCCTATTTAAGTGTTTATTTAAGTGTTTATGAGATTTACACAAAAACAGAAGAAATCAGGGTGGGGGTAAATACTTTTGCACAGAATTGTATGATCATATCACTGTATTTTCTTCTCTTCAGTGTAATCTGGTGTTTAATGTATTTTTGTTCAATTCTAGGAGGAGCTCGATACAGCACTGAAGTCCTTACACCAGAAACTTCAACACAATGAAAAAAAGAAAGGGGAGTTTGAGAAAACAGCTCAACACATCAATGTGAGGAAACAGAATCAAGAGTCATTTTCATTACAGCTGAAGGATCACTTTATACCGCTATGAATCGATATATATTAATATAATGAATTCCAGTAGATTATTTCTGCAAATGCCAAGCAGCTTCTGCTTCTGGATCCGTTATATGTCGGGTATCTGAGATTTGTGTTTACTGAGATGACTGAAGTGAATGTGATTTGATTTCAGTCTCAAGCTGAGCATTTAGAGCGTCAGATTAAAGAAGAGTTTAAGAAGCTTCATCAGTTTCTCAGAGATGAAGAAGAAGCAACAATCACTGCACTGAGGGAGGAAGAGGAGCAGAAGAAGCAGAGGATGAAGGAGAAGCTGGAGGAGATGAACACACACATCTCAGCTCTTTCACACACACTCAGAGACATGGAGGAGATGATGAAAGACAGTGACGTCTCGTTTCTAAAGGTGACAAATCAATCTGGCTTCATTCTCTGTGCATAAAACAACTTGTATAGAGAGACTCATTGACAGTGAGTGTGTTTGATGCGATATTAAAATGTGTTCAAACTCGATATTTTCCAGAACTATAAAGTCTGGATGGAAAGGTAAGTGAGCTGCTCGTATCTCTTCTCTCAGTGGATCTGAACTCAAATTCACTGCAGTTCTGACTCCTGAATGTTCCTCAGAGTCCAGATCTCACAGCCGGATCCACGGATGAGTTCTGGAGCTTTGATTCATGTGTGGTGTTATCTGGGTAACCTGCCGTTCAGAGTCTGGAAGAAGATGCTGGAAACTGTCCAACACAGTGAGTCTCAGCAGATTTAACACAGTGCAGAAGATAGTTCAGATATAAACACACACAACATCAATATAATATATATATTAAAAATCACTGAATCTGAACTGTTTTAAAGGGCACCTATTATGGCATTTAAAATGTTCCTAATATTGTTTTGGGAGTCCCCAACAACAGTTTTACAAGCATGCAATGACAAAAAACACTTTTGTTGTTTTATAATATGCATTTATTTTTACCTGATTTGCTCAGTGACTCCCATATGAATCGTTTAACGACTCATTTTTCCAAACCCCGCCTTTGCGTGACGCTAATCTGCGGTGATTGGTCAGATACCCAGTCAGTTGGTTAACGCAGAGTACAGTGTACAATGCTTTTATGTGAGGAAATAACAGGAGGATGCAAGATGCAAGTAAAACTCAGTTTAATGAATAAAGTCAGAGTGAACAATGATGACAAGGCACAGATCAGGGACAAACACTCAGATGGTCAGTGAAGCAGGGACGAGATGGCGATCCGGTGGTGGAAACAGATGACAGCGTGCTCGAGTGAAACCCAGGGATAGTGGAACATCCAGATGACACGAAGAACTGACGAAATCCAGACGACACGAAGAACTGACGAAATCCAAACGAGGAACAGAACAGACGAGGCACGAGCACAGGAAACACACCAAGGAACAACCACAACGATCTGACAACAAGAGAGAGAAAATGCTGGGTATATAAAGGGAACTGGAATGAATGGCAGCTGGAGACACTAATCAACACAACGAGTAACCACACCCACACAATTACACTCACGCAGACACATCAGCATGAGACAGCCGATTCATAAACCGTGACAGTACCCCTCCTCCTAAGAACGCCTCCTGGCGTTCTCAGACTCCCTTACCTGTCGATTGTAATCATCAATAAGGGAGTGATCCAGGATGTCTCTAGCAGGTACCCAACTTCTCTCCTCCGGACCGTAACCTTCCCAGTCCACCAAGTACTGAAATCCGCGTCCCCTCCGTCTCGAGTCCAGAATGCGGTTTACCGAATATGTGGGTTCCCCATCTACGAGTCGCGGCGGGGGGGGGGGGGGGGGGGGGGGGGGGGGGGGGGAACCGGGGCAGGCGGATTAATGTGAGAATGAAACACGGGCTTAATTTTAGACACATGGAAGGCGGGGTGAATTCTCCTGTACGCAGGAGGGAGTTTGAGGCGGACTGCCACCGGACTAATAATCTTGGTGACAGGAAACGGGCCAATAAATTTGGGAGCTAACTTGTTAGACACGGAGCGGAGAGGAATATTCTTGGTAGAAAGCCACACTTTTTGACCCACGACGTAAACGGGAGGCTTTGACCGGTGGCGATCGGCCTTGGCCTTCATGCGCCTCCCTGCTTGGAGTAGAGTCTCACGGGCTCTAGTCCAAGTACGGTGGCACCTCTGGACGAATGCGTGAGCGGAGGGAACCGCGACCTCGGATTCCAGACTCGGAAAAATTGGTGGCTGGTAACCTAAACTACACTTAAATGGCGAAAGGCCCGTGGATGACACTGGTAATGAATTGTGGCCGTACTCCACCATAGAAAGCTGTTGGCTCCAGGATGACGGATTCTTGGCAACCAAACATCGCAACATTCTTTCGAGGTCCTGATTGGCTCGCTCAGACTGGCCATTACTCTGGGGATGATAGCCCGAGGACAGACTGACCGTGGCCCCCAGCAATCTACAAAATTCTTGCCAAAATCTGGATACGAATTGGGAACCCGTCAGAGACCACGTCCGTTGGGAGGCCATGTAACCGAAAAACGTGATCTATGACAGTGACCGCTGTCTCCTTGGCTGAAGGTAATTTGGGCAAGGGAATTAAATGTGCCGCCTTCGAGAACCGGTCCACTACGGTTAAAACAACCGTCATGCCATTGGAGGGCGGGAGGGCGGTGACAAAATCTAGAGCGATGTGGGACCAGGGTCTCGAAGGGACAGACAGCGGTCGAAGTAACCCGTCTGGGGGTTGGTTAGATGTCTTACTAGTGGCACAGACTGAGCAAGCCAAAACAAAATCGTGAATGTCACGAGCCATCAATGGCCACCAAAATCGTTGCTTAACTAGAAAACTGGTGCGAGTCACTCCTGGATGACAAGCCACGTTGGAGCAATGACCCCATCGAATAACATCAGACCGTAACCCCTCCGGAACAAACAATCGACTCGGTGGGCAACCAGGCGGAGGCGTTACCCCTTCTAAGGCTGTCATGACCTTCGATTCGGCCTCCCATACCAGAGTGGAGATGACAACTTTCTCAGGTAAAATACACTCGGGAGTCACCGGGCGTTCGGATGGATCAAAAATACGAGATAAAGAGTCGGGTTTGATGTTTTTGGACCCGGGGCGGTACGAGAGAACAAAATCAAAACGTCCGAAAAAAAGAGCCCACCGAGCCTGCCTGGAGTTGAGTCTTTTAGCAGATCTGATGTATTCAAGATTCTTATGGTCGGTCCAAACGATAAAGGGTCCCCCCGAACCCTCTAACCAATGACGCCACTCCTCCAACGCTAACTTAACTGCCAACAATTCTCTATTACCAATGTCATAATTACATTCGGCAGACGATAGTCGATGAGAAAGAAACGCGCAGGGATGCATCTTGTCGTCTGAGGAAGCGCGTTGTGAAAGCACTGCTCCTACTCCCACCTCTGACGCGTCGACCTCCACCACGAACTGACGTGTGGGATCAGGGGTGACAAGAATGGGAGCCGAAACGAAGCGACTCTTGAGGTTGGTGAACACTGCCTCGGTAGTGTTCGACCACCTGAACATCGTTCGGGGGGAGGTCAAGGCAGTCAGAGGCGCGACTAGTTGGCTGAAATTACGAATGAAACGTCGGTAAAAATTGGCGAACCCCAGAAACCGCTGTAGGGCCTTACGGGAATCTGGACTTGGCCAATTTACCACAGCCTTAACCTTGTCAGGATCCATGCGCACTCCCTCAGAGGAGATGATGTACCCTAAGAAGGGAACAGACTGTGCATGAAACGAGCATACATCCGCCATGACAAATAGCCCATTCTCTAACAGTCTCTGGAGCACTCGTCTGACGCGTTGAACGTGTTCCTTGAGAGACGAAGAAAAAATCAATATGTCATCCAGGTAAACATATATGAACTGATCTACCATGTCTCTCAACACGTCATTAACGAGTGCTTGGAAAACCGCTGGGGAGTTGGAAAGCCCGAAAGGCATAACCAAATATTCAAAGTCCCCCCTAGGGGTATTAAAAGCGGTTTTCCATTCATCCCCCTTCCTGATGCGAACCAAATGATATGCATTACGTAAGTCCAGTTTCGTGAAAATGGATGCTCCCTGCAACCTCTCGAAAGCTGAAGACATCAACGGCAAAGGGTAAGAATTCTTTACCGTGATGTTGTTCAGCTCTCGGTAATCAATGCAAGGTCGTAGAGAACCATCCTTCTTCCCAACGAAAAAGAACCCCGCCCCCGCAGGAGAAGAGGAAGGCTGGATGAACCCAGAGGCCAGAGAATCAGAAATATATTTCTCCATGGCCTCCCTCTCGGGGATAGAAAGAGAGTAAAGTTTGCCCTTAGGCGGAGATTTACCTGGCAGTAGATCTATCGCACAGTCATAGGAACGATGCGGAGGAAGAGAAGCAGCGCGAGACTTACTGAACACCTCCTTCAGGTCGTGGTACTCCGGGGGCACGTTAGACAAATCCGCTGCCTCACTCTGAAACACAGAACCAGACACAGAGGGACAGGCAGACACTAAACAGGACTCATGACAGTGGTTACTCCATGTGGAAACAGTGTTAGTGCACCAGTCGACACGGGGGTTGTGTCTGGAAAGCCACGGGTGTCCCAAAACCACTGGTGCAAGTGGTGAGTCCATGAAAAAAAATGAGATGAGTTCTGTGTGATTTCCAGAAGTGATGAGGGTAATGTCTTCAGTAGCATGTGTAATCCGGGGAAGTTCTTGAAAGTGCGTTGACGGTAATCTGGTGCGAGAGAGGAGTGACGGGGATCTGAAGTTTAAGTGCAAGTTTGAAGTCCATGAAATTACCCTCCGCTCCCGAATCCAGAAGTGCGTTGGTGCAGTGCGTCGACTGTCACCATCTCAGTCTTACCGGGAGGAGGGTTTATGATGGTGATGAGGTCTTCTCGGCGGAGATCCCACCCGATAGTAGCCTCATACTTACTACCGGGCTTGCTCTTTTACCGGGCAGGAGTGGATGAAGTGGCCCGCCCGGCCACAGTAGAGACAGAGTCCTTGGGATCTCCGCCTCTCCCTCTCCTCCCGGGAAAGCCGAGCTCTCCCCACCTGCATGGGTTCGTGGTCGAATGCGGGGCTGACCGCGCTCGCACCACCGGGCTGGTGGTCTTCCGTGCTGAACTGTGGACGGCTGGGGCGCGTCAATCTGGTCACACGATTCAGTCGAGTGTCTACTCTCAGCGCAAGTTCCACTAGTCCGTTCAGCGTCTCCGGTAAGTCCATTGCGTAAATCTCCTTTTGAACGCGGTCAGCCAACCCATGCAGGAACATATCCCACTGCGCCTCCTCGTTCCAACGGCACTCTGCGGCCAGGGTGCGGAACCGAATGGAAAAGTCCGCCACCGAGCCTTCTCCCTGTCGCAGTTTGGCGAGTAATCTGGCTGCCTCCTTACCCGCCACTGCACGGTCGAAAACTCTCTTCATCTCTTCGGAGAGTGCCTGGAACGAGGTGCAGCAGTTGTCTCCGTTCTCCCACACCGCCGTCCCCCAAAGCGATGCTCTTCCTGACAGCAGGGTTAATACAAATGCCACCTTCGCCTGTTCGCTCTGGAAAGTGTGTGGCTGTAAGGCAAAATGCATAGAACATCTTGTGAGGAATGCTCTGCAAAACTCCGGTTCACCGGAATATCCCTCTGGTGTGGGTAGGCGTGGCTCTGGTCTCCCTGCTGCTGCAAGCGCCGGTGGTGAGGGGACGGTCGGTGTGGGGGGCGCAGTGGGAATCCGTAAAAGTTGTACCTGTTGGGTGAGCTCGGACACCTGCTTCACGAGTGCTTGCACCGCACGACCTGTGCCTGAGATGTTCTCTTCCTGTTGATCCATACGTGAGATACTGCGAGCGATGAAATCGTTGATCTGTGACAAATTTGCTGCATCCATGGTTTGGTCAGATCGTTCTGTGAGGAAATAACAGGAGGATGCAAGATGCAAGTAAAACTCAGTTTAATGAATAAAGTTAGAGTGAACAATGATGACAAGGCACAGATCGGGGACAAACACTCAGATGGTCAGTGAAGCAGGGACGAGATGGCGATCCGGTGGTGGAAACAGATGACAGCGTGCTCGAGTGAAACCCAGGGATAGTGGAACATCCAGATGAAGAACTGACGAAATCCAGACGACAGGAAGAACTGACGAAATCCAAACGAGGAACAGAACAGACGAGGCACGAGCACAGTAAACACACCAAGGAACAACCACAACGATCTGACAACAAGAGAGAGAAAATGCTGGGTATATAAAGGGAACTGGAATGAATGGCAGCTGGAGACACTAATCAACACAACGAGTAACCACACCCACACAATTACACTCACGCAGACACATCAGCATGAGACAGCCGATTCATAAACCGTGACAGTTTATCAATTACATTGTGTTATAATATGATTATAGTGCACAGCTTTGTAGTAAAAAAATCAAAATAAGAGAAGAAATTTAAGTTGAGTTATGTTAGCGACCATAGCCCAACGTTCAGTAGTAAAAGCACATTCAGTCTTTGTTTGCGTTAGCCCAACGCATAAACAGATTAATAATGCAGTACTACGAGGTATTGCTCTATTCTTTATGACAACTCCAATAACAACGACAAACACTTCACATATTTCAATACAATTGACATTGAAGACTATAGAAGCTGCGCTTTGCGTACACAACACACAAAATAATTATTGAGTATGCTACATAAAACATAAAAGAAACAATTATTAATATTAATAATAGGCTACTTACAGGTTGTGATTCGGAGGAGGAAGCTGATCCAAATAAACTAGGTACTGAACCTTCCTTATATATCAGCCGGCTCGCAAATCCATAT